AAAACCTCACTCCCGAAAGATTTGCTTATATAGAATATCCACTGTACCTTGACCTAGGGCATTTGATGAGAACTTCCGAGGACACGGATTCATCAAGAGGATTTTATCTACCGCATTACGGAGTGGTTAAGACAACCAGCGAGACGACGAAGCTACGTGTCGTTTTCGACGGCTCCGCGGCCACTAGCACTGGGGTATCCCTCAACGATGCTCTTTACGTCGGACCGAAAATCCAGGATGACTTGCTGTACATTCTTCTTCGTTTTCGTATTCACTGTTACGTCATCACCGGTGACATCGAGAAGATGTACAGACAGTTCATCGTCCGACCAGAAGATAGGAAATACCAGCAGATACTTTGGCGTGACGTTGACGGGGAAATTCGGACTTATGAATTGCAACGCGTCACGTTCGGACTCTCTGCTGCACCGTACCTAGCAATACGTTGTCTCTCCCAACTCGCCCAGGACGAAGGTCACTGTTTTCCAGAAGCTGCGAAAATTCTTTGTCGCGATTTCTATGTCGACGATGCGCTTACCGGAGCATCGTTTATCAGCGAAGCACGCGCAATACGTGACCAATTGACGCAATTGCTGAGCTTGGCGGGCCTTAACATAAGACGATGGGCAACCAATCACAAATCAATTTTGATGGATCTTCCAGAACAGGATTTAAATAAGAAATTACATTTTGGCGATTCACCGAATTTAAAGACGTTAGGGATCTTCTGGAACTCTTCTAACGATTCCATATCGTATGAAGTTAAGGTGCAATCCCCCACGACGCGGGTACCAAAACGGGTCATTGCTTCAGAGATCGCGAAAATTTATGATCCTCTCTGTCTTTTAGGACCTGTTATCAGTACCGCGAAAATGTTCCTACAAAAAATATGGACCATCAAACTCGATTGGGACGAGTCATTGCCGATGAATGTTTTTACGGAGTGGACCCAATTTTACAGGCAATTACCGTTACTAAACAATACAGTGTTTCCGAGGAAGACCATCCCTTGCACACCGACGGTAACGAAATTGCATGGTTTCTGTGACGCAAGCGAAAGGGCCTACAGTGCGTGCGTTTATCTCAGGTCAATAGATAAACATGGCCATGCACATGTGGAGCTCCTTTTTGCAAAATCGAAAGTGACACCATTGAAGTCGCAGTCAATACCTAGACTCGAATTATGTGGCGCCTTGCTTTTGACGTCACTGATAACCACCGCGAAAAAGGCTCTCCACATTAATATTAATAGTACGTTCCTCTGGACGGACTCTACTATTGTCCTCTATTGGCTTCAGGCGTCTCCGCATACTCTGAAAACGTTCGTGGCGAACAGGGTAACGGAGATTCAAGAGAATACCAGAATCACGGATTGGCGACATGTCCCTACGTCGGATAATCCCGCAGATCTGATCTCGCGTGGCCAGTCCCCTGAAGAATTTTTGCAACCATCCATCTGGCACCAAGGACCAGAATGGCTCTGCAAAGAAGAATCTTCATGGCCAGCGACAACACTGCTACCGCTGGAAGATACCATACCAGAACAGAAGACAGCGACATGTTTAATTACAACCACTTTAGATACCAGCATCCTGGATAATTATTCCTCTTGGGGACGTATGCAGATAAAGCAACAACATTAAAGGATACCTCACCGCTTCCGAAATCAAGAATGCCCATAACACTATTATTAAGCTTCTCCAACAGGCACATTTCACCAAGGAATTACGACGCTTATCGAATAACAATAGCGAAATCGGAGGAAAATTACAACATTTATCTCCCTTCTTAGATAAGGACGGTATCTTGCGAGTAGGAGGTCGACTGAAACATTCTTTTATTCCATTTCCACAGCGTCACCCTATTATACTACCGAAATCACGGGTGACCATACTTATCATTGATGCTGAGCACAGGGCTCAATTACACGCTGGCGTCTAGAATACTCTATATGCCATTAGACGCAGGTATTGGCCCATTGATGGAGGAACCAGGTCTGGAAGGCGCTAAAACCCTGCACACGCTGTCTACGAGCCCGACCGCCGCCCGCGGATTACATCATGGGTGATTTACTTGCAGCAAGAGTCACCGAGTCGCGACCATTTACCCATGTCAGCGTAGATTATTGCGGCCCTTTCTACGTTAAAGAAAGGAAACATCGAAACCGCGCGAAAATAAAGATTTATGTAACGGTTTTCGTCTGTCTGGCGGTCAAAGCGATACACTTGGAAGTTGTAAGTAACCTGACTAGCGAGGCGTCCATTGCGGCGCTCAAGTGGAAGTCGTAAGTGACCTGACTAGCGAGGCGTTCATTGCTGCGCTCAAACGGTTCATCGCGCGGCGGGGATTTTGCACGAATCTGTACTCAGATAACGGTACAAATTTTGTTGGCGCTAATAATGAACTAAATGACCTTCGCGAATTAATTCGGTCCGATGATCATCAACAAAAAGTAACAACCTTCCTTGCGGATAAAGTTATCGCTTGGAAATTTATCCCACCTCGTGCGCCACATTTTGGCGGATTGTAGGAGGCTGCCATCAAGGCTTTCAAGCACCACCTCGTACGCGTCGTAAGCAGTGAGTAATTTCCGTTTGAGGAATTTAATACTTTAATTATACAGATTGAATCTATTTTGAATTCTCGATTTCTCACGCCCCTTTCATCCGACCCGAACGACCTTTCAGCTCTAACTCCCGGTCATTTTCTTACCGGCGAATCACTAACTAGCTTACGCGAGCGAGATTTTGACGATACTCCGTCGAATCGGCTATCAACGTGGCAACACATCCAAAAGATTAAAAGGCACTTTTGGAATCGTTGGCATCGGGAGTACCTCAACGAGCTGATTAGGCGTAGTAAGTAGAGCAAGGGCAGCTACGACATTAAGGAGGGCACGATTGCACTCATCCAGGAAGACAACGTTCCACCCCATACACTGGGCACTGGACAGAGTACTCAAAGTTCACCCCGGGTCTGACGGCATTATGCGCACGGTGACAATTAAAACCGCCACCTGCGCGTTAGATCGGGCCGTGAAACGTCTCGTCCCATTACCCCAACACTCTGAAGAAGACGACATCAACCAGGTTGAATCACACACTACCATAAAATAGTCGAACTTGGTTATACTTACGAACTCCATAGTGATCGTGATTCCAACTCTGTTGTGTATATAGTTCCGTGTAAATTTGTGTATATTATTTTATTATTATTATTATTATTTTTTATCTTTATTTCTATCATTTTCTTATTTAAGTGTACAGTTTTGTTTCTATTTCGAGACATGCATATATTAGGTTTAACGTCATCATATGTATAGTTTCATACTCATTCATATTTATAAATTGTATCATCTTTCATTATCATCTTATATACAGATATATTGGTTTACTTATCCATACTTATAATTGTTGAAACTGTATGATCGTAACTTCAATTATTATGCAACATATTTAGCATAGTTTTATATCTTCTGTTCATTCATAGTTTAGCGAATAGGTTGATCGCAATCCTCTCAACGGGGGGAGGATGTTTCGTGGCATCTCCACGAAATATAATTCGTTACGGTTTATTTTATTTTACATTTTTACAAATACCAGATGGCTGGCAATTTGTACCAGGGACAGTACCCAAACTACAAATTACCAGCATATTTATTGCACGTAGCATATTTATTGCACGTAAATCAACAAGACCGTTTTTGAGAGTCAGTTTATTACTTAATACGGCAGTTAGAATATTTTAGATTTTTTTAAGTCCTCAGCGGCCAATTGCCCGTGCCATAAACATGAGTTTCCGAAGGGTCGCCAAACTGACCCCGGTGACCATCATTCCCGTCAGGTAATCGGCATCCATACCCATCGGAAACTCCATCAAATGTTTAAACATTCACCGTTACATCTTCCACTTCCACTGATACTTCCTACTGCCTACAAATCGCGTTCCGGACGCAAGGAAGTAGGGATAAGTCAGTGGTGCCTAAATTCAATTGGTCAGAAAAACGACTGATGAGGCGAAGAGGTGGAAGTACACACTTTTCTTGTACGCTGTGACGTGGTATTTTATACCCGTCACAAGGAATCTCCTCGGAGGACCGGACAGTCATTACATTAGGGGCAAAAACCGTCTAGAGAGAGAACAAAGCGCATGTAATATATCGTACGACCAGAATCTGTCGCCGCTTTGTTTTGTATGTACCATCGGATAACGACGTCATAACCAGCGGAGGAACAGCGTACGCCGAGGGAACGCACCGCTACCCTGCCGCTACCCCGCTCGGATCCAGCAATAGACCAAGAGAGGCAAACTGGTGGTATATACATATTTTTTACTACTTACTTTTTAACATTAGGTATTATACATAGTCTTATGTAATTGACGAACCCCAACTGACGGTAGAAATACCGCCAGGTCGGGGGAAGAAATTAGTTAGTAAGTTAGTAGGATAAGAAACATGTGGGATCCAGTTTTTGGAAGTTTTTTGTGTGGATGCATGGGGTGAATCTGAGTGTGTGGTGGAACTATATAATTATATTTTGACGCACCTTAAAGGCTAGTTTGGTAGGTACTTAACTTAGTTACGTAGCTTACTTAACCTAACTCCCCCTGGAAGGTGGAGCTACCTGCGTTCCCACAGGTAAGCGTACCCTTCTTGGGGGCAACTGCCATAGCCCGTCCCAAGCCGGGTTGTGAAAAGTAGAGGGGCCTAACCATACCTAAACTGTCTTCCCCCTACCGGCCACGGTAGGGGAAATTTCGGTAGGTAA